TGAATCCAATTTTCATTTCATCTGGGAAAAGCCATTTTTTTCTCAACAAAGTCTTTGTCATTTGATCAAATAGTGTTCCATTAGACAAGAACATATTTGATAAATAGTGATAACTCTCGGATAGAGTACTAGAACAGAAAGATTCATTAGAAAATGAACCCTTATTTCTAAGCCATCTCTGACGATGACTCACAAATTTGAAGTGCTTTTGTTCCTTCTTCTTTATAATAAAATCGTGTGTTTTTTTATATCGAAGTAGATGCTCCCATTGAGAAGTGTGGGAAGTAAGAAGCGCCTTTGAAAATTCTTCATCTGCAAAAAATTCTCTACGTGAAAACAAAGATCCCGTGGACTGCTCTTTGAATAGGAAAAAGAGTGGATCTGCAGTGGTCCCAAATAAATTGGCTTATTTGAAAAAAGCCTTTGTCTTTGGAAGATTTATCTCGTGTCTTAGACTGCATGGTTTCACTCTGTAAGAACTCTGAATCATTCTCTTGAAGCTCATCCTCTTGATCATAAAGGATCCGCTCGCTACACAGAAAATCCCAAGGACGCCATAGTCTAGGAGCCCAAACTATGTGACTGAATAAATCCTCCTGTTCGTAGTTTTCATATAGAAATCTCTGATCAAGAATAGAAGAAGATCCATAATTTTGTTCTGATCCCAACAGATAGCCTTCTACTTTTAATAATTCTAATAAACCATGAACTAGATCAGAATCATTCTTAACGAGTGCATAGGAAGTGATCCCATTTTTTTCATCTCGGGGGAAAGACCAAAGATCTTGAGCAACCGATCCGGCAGAACAACTCAAAAGATAAAGAAGTATCGTAAATTTTTTAATGTTCCTTCCAAGTTCGAAGTACCATTTGTACAAATAGGAATCCGCCTCATTACATAATTCCTTCTTCAGATAGATCGATATAGCATCTACGGGGCAATTACTTATCAGTAAATTTTGTGCTACAGCCCTTCCTATCTGATATAAAAGGATCCCATGATCCTGAACCAAATTTAACTGTGATTGCAAATCCCAAGTTTGTCTATGAAGAGCGGCTCTAATTGTATTATTGTCTATAATGGATTTTTTCTGTGTAATACTAATTGATAGAACCTCATTGGTAAGTGCTAGAATATCTCCTATATTCGGCCCCATGGTTATAGACCCGAATCCGTTACTATGGAACAGTTTCTTTTCCAAATAAAATCCCCTAGTAGATGAAAGAGTAAAAAAGTACTTTCTTTTTTGTGGATTAACAAGCCTTCGTAATTTAATACACGTATTCAACCTTTTCGGAGCTATTAGAGCGGGATCCACTTTTTGAGGAATATGAGTAGAAGCAATAACAAGAATATTTCTAGTAGAACTTCTTACACAATTCTTTGAGAGATGGTTAACTAATAGACCAAGAGATAAGGAATTTGACTCATTCACATCCAGATTATGAATATTTGGAATCCAGATTATGCAAGGAGACATAGCTCTTGCTAATTCAAATTGAAGGGTAATAGATAATCGGTCTATTTCAGCCTTCATCTCCTTATCCATAGTTAGCGCATTCATCCTAGTTAGGATTTCCAGCTCGGTAGCAAGGTCAAAATTCTTATCGTCATCAATATTGTCGCTCTTAGTCAGATTGATATCGTCACTAGCATTAATATTGATACTATTATCAATATAGAAATCAGTCATAAATTTACGACTCTTATCTCGCAACTTATTCACAAATACCGTAATGAAAGGCATATAGGAGTTTGTTGCTAGGTATTTGACCAAATAGGATCGTCCAGTTCCTATAGAACCGAGAACTAAAATACCTCTAGAGGGGGATAAGTCTAAGCGGAGAGAAAAAGGCTTTCCACGACATGCTAAATGAGCATACGAAGTTTGTGGGTAAGTCATTGTCTGAGAATGAGCAAGTAATATGCGTCTTTCTGCTAAAAAAGATCTATTAAACTCATAGTTCATTAGATCCTTTTGATGAATGTCAATTAAGTATCGTAAATAAATTGCTCCCGGTTGGTCAATCATTGGATAACCTAAGTCATTCTTTAAGAAATGATCCCTGTCAGTCAGACTCGATGGAATTCTTTTTTCTGTTGTTAAAGTGGCTAGCTGAACCAAAAATTGTCTTTCTTCCTCATGAATTGAATCGCTGTTTACGATCCAGGATTCTATTTGATCATCAATCCAATTCGCCTTCACGTTTTCTCTTTTTCTTATCAATGAATAGAGCTCTTTACTTGTAGGACTGATAGAACTGATATATTGCATATTTCTATTTATAGAAACAGCAATTCCAGTTATCTGTTCAAGGATATTGAAAGATTTCTTCGTCAAACGTCTTGGTTTCACTTTCAAAGTAAGATGAATCTTGTTGAGACCGAAAACAAAACCTTGGATTCCTTCTAACAAACGTACGAATTGGTTAAAGCCAAATATAAATATATTATTTAACCAAAACCCATTTGATTCACACATAGGATATTTATCTACAAGTTTTTGAAACTCAATTAGATATGAGGGAATTAGAAAAGGTTTTAATCTTTTAAACTTGATATCTAACTCCCTCAAAGATCGAGAAACAAAGACAAGATTTATAATAACAAGATAACCAACACCAATAAGAAGGAAAAGCGTTGAAACGAAAAAAGCCCAACCACTTGGTGATCTAAAATGTGTTGATGTTTTAGTATTTCGTTGCAACCTTTCATTAGCTAGAAGACGGTTATGTAACCACTTACTTGAGATTTCACTTGTTATAAAAAAGGGCAACAATTTCATCTTAAAAATTTGCCATAATAAATACAAAATCTCCCAATAAATAGATATCCTACTATTTAATATTGAAACTATATCTATCAATAGAGAATAGAGATATTTGTACCCTGTCAAAGTAAAGAAGTTTGGCAAATTCATTTGGAAAAGATTTAATTTTTCTGATAAAATGGAAAAAAAATTCTCTCTATGAAAAGTTGTTGCCATCCGTCTTTTCTGAAACACAGCGCCTTTTTTTCGATTTTTTTTGTTTTGAAATGAAAAATATTTATAAGAACAGGGAATGTCAACCAAATCCATATCCATATTTAAATTAAAATTAGGATATTCTTGAAAGTGATTTTCTTCTGAATCATATAGATTTCTATTTAGATCTGAAAACGGTTGACAATAAGTTGTTTCCAAATTGACTATTTCTTCCTCTGTAGAAGATGTTCCAAAAGTATTTAGAATCAAATTAGGCATGACTGGATCGGATTCCCTTACAGAATTAAAAAAATTCTCAAAGTTATACCGTGGGTCACCATTTTTGGCAAAATCCTTAAATAAGGAATCAATTAGTGAAATAGTAGCTCTATCCCCAAAAACCTGTCTTTTTTTCCCACCACCTAAAGAAACTTTTTGATTCCCAAGGAACAAGCTATTTAGAAATTGCTCATAGAGAAAATACGAATTAGTATTCCGAGTCCTTTCCACAGAAAATGGAAATCTTCTCTTACAATCTAACCAAAAGTTAGAGTTAGGGCGAATATTAAAGAAGCGAAGTCTATTTGCTTTATAAAAAGCGGATATAAGTGAACTTCTTTCAAATAGGTTCATGGGATGAAACCCATTAGCCTTTTCATCAAAATATTTTGGTCTAGTAAGCAATGCATCAATCCTCTCTTTTGCTATATTATGAAACAAAAAGGGTGATCTTTTTGTTTCATTGATAACAAAGTTCGACGTACCAGACTCTTCCAACAAAAAGGGGTTTAATTTTTTTAAATAAATCATTTTAAACCCTATTGATTCCAACAACTGATTACAAAGTTGACCGTTCGGTCCTTGTAATTGATAGATATAGATTTCGGACCTCTGAACAGGACTAGTACCAAAACTTACACAGGAAAAACCAAGTGAATTAGACAAAAAGAAAAGCAACTTGATCATACAGTGAAATCCCTTCGTAAAAAAAAAACGAAGTGACTGGGGAAAAAAGAAGAAACGTACTGATTTGGACAACTTGGTAAAAACTAAAGGAACTAACTTATACACATTTTTTTTTACTTTGATTTCTACTTCCCTGCGAACCTTAGACCAATAAATCCATTTCTCAGTTATTTTATCAATAACATAAATACATAATTTATAAACTTTCTCAAACATCATTTGCAAATGGCCCTTTCGGACTTGAACATACATTTCAAAAAGTCTTTTCTGCTCATAAAGAAAATGTTTTGAATTTTCTTGTAAACTCTTTGCCCCATTTGACCATTTGGATCTATATGGATGACCCTGTTTTATTTTATATGTCATATGAGTTAGATGATTGAGAAGACCCGTTTCTTTTTGATCCCCTTGAATTCTCCTAATTCGATATTTGAAATTGTGATTGGATATATTTATGAAAACAAATTTATTTAATAGATTTCTTATGTACACATAGGTACTAGATTGCATTTGAATCATATTGTGAATGAATCTATATCTATATAGATTCACTGCTTCAATCCATACGCAGTTTTGGCCCGTTCGCTGAAAAAAAGAGTTATTCTCCTTATAACGAAAAAAAATAGGCGAAAGAGCCAACAAAGATTGATTTTTTGATTCAGTCCTAGTATTGAATATTTTATTCAATAATTTGATTTTATGCAATTCATATGAATCTATATTAACAAAAAAAGTAAATCCCTGATTATAGACTGGATCCGGCTCGCTTATTGTCAGAATAAATAAACCTGGACTTTTTTGTAATTTTTTTTCTGATTTCCAATTATGTTGTAGCACATAGCTTCCTTGTTTACTTTCAAGGAATCGGTTAACAAAAGAAAATAATGGAGTTTTTTTAAGAAATCCAGTATTCTTCGAATTTTCTATTTCGGGATCCAAAGAAATAGACTTAATTAAAACAGTCCTTTTTAAATACGTAAGTATTCTAAATAGATTAACTATTTCTTTCTTTTCCGCTTGCCGGACAAAAGAAAGAGATTTATTCCTAAATTTCGGATCCATATTGGACTTAGCAATAGGAGTTGATCCCATATAAAGTTCTGACCATCTATCAGAGTAAAATGAATAAAGGGACCTCGGGGCATTGCCCCGAGATTGTTCCCTTTCTTTCGGAAACGGAAGGCTTAGCGTGGGTTTACGGCCTTTGATCTCTTTTTGTTCGGTTTTAAGAAAGTAAGGATCCCAAGAAGTTGATCTTTGTTTTCGTTGTTTAAATTTTCTTTTATTCATTAATTTGGAATATTCGGAATCCTCATTTCTAATGGAATCCAAAAAATTTCTATCCAAGGATCCTTTCGGTTGGCCGGAATCTTTTACTTGTAAGGAACTAGATCTTGTGGAATCATAAGGAAACTCCAGCGATTTTTTATCTTTTAATAATACCAGATTTAAACCAAGAAGTTTCATTGGAATTTCTCTAAATTCCGTTCTAGTTCGTCTAATAATTTCTCTAATAAAGTTTTTCCCCTGCGTCGAATCTGACTTTGATTGAGGCATGTTAGGTTTTTTTTTTTATTGGCAAAACCCGAGTATTATAGTTCGTATTCAGTAAATCAATATCAATTTGATTTTTGCCTTTTGGAAAAGAAAGGAGTAAAATACTCAATCGATTTAGAGTAGAATAACCACTATCTTGATCAGTTATGGATTCACTGCAATTCATCGGTATAGGAAAAAGTCTTTTTAAATAGAGATTTTTTCTTTCAACCATATTTTGATTGCTAATACGATAAATAAAGATAACAACGCCAACGAAAACTAGTAAAACTCCCTTAATCTTGACCGATCGATTGCTTTTTGAACCCTGCAAATTAGGTGAAAGTACAAGACTCCAAATTTGTGGGTCAAACAGTTTTAAAAACCGTTCTTGGGAGACTAAAATATGAATGGAAGATCCGATTGAATTCAATTGGGTCCATGAATCTAAAAAATATTTTGATTTTTTAATCTCTCTCAGTATCTCTCGTAATTCTAGAATCCAGAACTTGTTTTGCTTAGGTTCCATCTCATACCTCCATAAGATTTTATGCAAAAATTTTAAGTACTTGTTTTATATAATTGACTATTGACTATTTAATGTAAAAATAGAAATGATAAATAGAGTCTTTGTTTAGTATTTCAGATTTCCGAAATTCTTTATTTAAACGACATTTTTTTATGTAATATTTTTTGCTGTAATTCGATATTGAATATTAGATTCTCTATTCCTATCATATCCTATCATATAAAATAAAATATCATTTTTTTTTATTTGCAATTCCAAGATTCATAATTACCATAATTATTATATTTTAATTTTCAATTTTTATAGATGATGGTCTCGTTTAAGCATCCATAGCTAAGTGGTTAAAGCGCCCAACTCATAATTGGCGAAGTCGTAGGTTCAATTCCTACTGGATGCACACTATTAGCACTATTAGTTATTTACACAAAATCTCATTGACCCTCCAATTCTTCTTTTTATGATATTTTTGTTATATTTTAGGATATATATTAGCATAGATCTACTTTGAGCATTTCCTTCATAATCCATATTAAATATCATATAAGATATATGCTCCTAGATAGATTTGTCCATATCAAATATCATAGAAGATATATGTTCCTAGATAGATTTCATGTTGACTATTTCCATTTCATATATCATAATAGATAATTCTAGGATACCGATACATATAGAGAATCTATCTCTATATTAGAGATATAGATAGATTCTATCAACACTCAAAATTAACATTTTTATTTCAACTTAAAATAATACGGAATGAATTAAAATTCGGGATGGAATAAAAGATATAATATTAAAAAAAAGAATTTAGTTATTAAAAAATAATAAATAGACTTTTTTTGAAATCCACGTCATAAACTTTGAGTAGTGCTACGCTTCTGGCAAAGGGTCACATAATGGTAGGCCCTCCCTATTAGAGGACATATAATGCAATGGCTACCGCAGATCATTAGACATTGGCTTACACCTCCAAACAAATAAACTTTAAATCCAAAATAAAAATCATTTATATCATGGGAATACAATTATACAAAACTTATAACCCGAGCGAAACCGTAAACAGCCCAAAATTTGCTCGAAGAAAAAATTTGCTCTCTGGAAAGCATCATTGTGGTAAAGGTCGTAATGCTAGAGGAATCATTACAGCAAGGCATAGGGGGGGGGGGTCATAAGCGCCTATACCGTAAAATAGACTTTCGACGGAATGAAAAAGACCTATATGGTAGAATCATAACCATAGAATATGACCCTAATAGAAATGCAAACATTTGTCTAATACATTATAAGACTGGTGAGAAGAAGTATATTTTACATCCGAGAGGGGCTCAAATTGGAGATACCATTGTTTCTGGTACAAATGTTTCAATCAAAATTGGAAATGCCCTACCTTTGACCGAAATCCCCTTAGGCACGACTATACATAACCTAGAAATTACACGTGGAAGGGGTGGACAATTAGCTCGAGCAGCGGGTGCAATGGCGAAACTGATTGCAAAAGAGGGTAAATCAGCTACATTAAAATTACCTTCTGGCGAGGTCCGTTTTATATCCCAAAACTGCTCCGCAACAATAGGACAAGTCGGGAATGTTGGGTTCAACCAAAAAAATTTGGGTAGAGCTGGAGCTAAACGATGGCTAGGTAAGCGTCCTGTAGTCAGAGGAGTAGTTATGAACCCCGTAGACCATCCACACGGGGGCGGTGAGGGTAGAGCTCCTATTGGGAGAAAAAAACCTACAACCCCTTGGGGTTATCCCGCACTTGGAAGAAAAACTAGAAAGAGGAATAAATATAGTGAGAAGCTCATTCTTCGTCACCGCAGTTAATATAATAGTATAATATAGTTAATAGAGTGAATATACTTAATGTAATATATATAGTATAAAAATTAATATAATAGAACAAATTAAATTTATTCATTCAATTATATGAAAAATAAAAAAATAAAAGAATAATAAAATTTATAGGAGTAAACTGTGGCACGTTCACTAAAAAAAAATCCCTTTGTAGCTCATAAATTATTAAAAAAAATTGAGAAACTTAACACAAAGGGAGAAAAAGAAATAATAATAACTTGGTCCCGGGGATCTACTATTATTCCAATAATGATTGGTCATACTATTGCCATTCATAATGGGAAAGAGCATCTCCCTATTTATATAATGGATGATATGGTCGGACACAAATTGGGAGAATTTGCAACTACTTTAAATTTTCGAGGACATGCAAAAAATGATAAGAAATCTCATCGGTAATGTGAATACTAAAAAATATTTTGATGCTTATAAGTCATTAGTAGGAGGCAAATTTTATGTACCAGATGCTAAATAAAAAAACCCCAGAAGTATACGTTTTAGGTCGACGTATAGCTATGTCGGCTAATAAAGCACGAAGAGTTATTGACCAAATTCGTGGGCGTTCCTATGAGGAAACACTTATTATATTAGAACTCATGCCCTATCGTGCCAGTTATCAAATTTTAAAATTGGTTTATTCAGCCGCATCAAATGCTAGTTACACTATGGCTTCAAATAAAGCAAATTTAGTTATTAGTCAAGCTGAAGTTAATGAGGGGACTGCTGGAAAGAAATTAAAACCTCGGGCTCGCGGGCGTAGTTATCCAATAAAAAGACCGACCTGCCATATCACTATTGTACTAAAAGATATTTCATTCAATGATTCTGAATCCGTGGAGCTCGGTTTGCTAAAAAAACCACAAGCGAAAAAAAATTCTAGAACTAAAGCATATTCTGATATCCAGAAAAGGAGGTATTTATGGGACAAAAAATAAATCCACTTGGTTTCAGACTTGGTACAAACCAGGCCCATTATTCACTTTGGTTTTCGCAACCAAAAACGTATGCTGAAAATCTGCAAGAAGATCAAAAGATAAGAGCTTTTATAAAAAATTATGTACAAAAAAATAGAATCAAACCCTCGGGTACCGAGGGAATTGCAGGTATATGTATTAAAAAAAGACTCGATCTAATCCAAGTCATAATCTATATTGGATTTCCCAAAGTATTCATTGAAAATAGCCCGCAGGGAGTTGAAGAATTACAAAAAGCTCTACAAAAAAAATTAAATTTCGTAAACCGAAAACTTAATATTGCTATCACAAAAATTGAAAAACCGTATGGAAATCCTAATATTCTTGCCGAATTTATAGCTGGACAATTAAAGAATAGAGTTTCCTTTCGAAAAGCAATGAAAAAAGCTATTGAATTAGCTGAACAAGCAGATACAAAAGGAATTCAAGTACAAATTGCGGGACGCCTTGACGGAAAGGAAATTGCACGTGTGGAATGGATAAGAGAAGGAAGAATTCCCCGCCAAACTATTCAAGCTAAAATTGATTATTGTTGTTATTCAGTTCGAACTATCTACGGGGTTTTAGGCATAAAAATTTGGATATTTTTTGATCAAGCTCAATAAAATTTTATTCATTCTTTTTACCTGTAATACCGAGCGGCCATTTCACAAATTATTTTGTGTAATGAGCAGGAACAGTTCTAATTGATAATAATGAATTCTATAAGGTTGAATAAAAATTTTATTTATTTTTAATAAAAATATCATTGCTATGCTTAGTGTGCGACTCGTTTATTTTTTAAGGTTAGCATGAAACCAAACCCAAAGTAACAACTACTAACTCGAGAAGAAATTACCTAATAATTAACTCATCAATTTCGCATTATCTGGATCTAAATAACCAGTCACGATATGATTACCGCTCATATCGTTGTAGCAACTGCCATTTATTTGCATAAACGAAAAATAGTATTCAAATATTATTGAAGTTGCGAAGCAAAATATAAAAAAGATGTGGATAATTGGAAGGGAGAGAGAAAGGGAGAAAAAGAAGCTCAATGATTGAAAATTCCAATATGTAGGGTCTAACAAAACAGGCAATGTAATGAAGCATTAATACTTAAATTCTGCATATTAAAGTATTTAAAATAGAATAAGAAATCTAAGAATATTCAATAATAAAAAACAATATACTCTTATTATAGAAATCTATAATCTATATATAAATATTCAATTAGATATTAAATATAGAAGAGATAAAATAAAAAAATAAAGTCAAGAGCTTAAAGCCAATAAAGACTAAGAAAAATGGCTAAAGACTTAAATTATTCATATATTATTACTATTTGAGCTCCATTGTAAAATTAGGACCTAACCATTAAGTAAGAAGTGATGGGGACGACGGAACTTATGAGAATACAAAAGATTCAATTCAATTCAAGATGAAATAAAAAAAAATCTTAAACATTCACTGGCTGGGATGGCGGAATAAACCAATGTTAAATTATTTTATTTCTAGATACTAGCTATAAGATGTCACAAACTCGTCCTAGAAATGAAATCTAAATTGACAGAGTCAATATTCGCCCGCGAAAACTTTTTTCAAAAGAATCAATATTCAATCTAAAGCAATATAAAGAATAGTCAAAAATGAAGGATTAGTTAGACTCAGAGAATCATGAAAAAACTGTAGAATAATTCATTTCAATTCAAATAGATTTAAAAAAAGATCACTCAATCCCTAAATATTATTTTGACTTCTCAGTCCAGACTTTTATTATCTATCTTTAGATTTAGATATCTTCACTATGATTAGTCAATTTGAGTCAAACGCTCATTTTGTAAATACTTTATTCGTAATTCGCGAGGAGCTGGATGAGAAGAAACTCTCACATCCGGTTCTGTAGTAGAGATGGAATAAATAAAAATCCATCAACTATAACCCCAAAAGAACCAGATTCCGTAAACAACATAGAGGAAGAATGAAGGGAATAGCTTCTCGAGGGAATCATATTTGTTTCGGTAAATATGCGCTTCAAGCACTTGAACCCGCTTGGATCACATCTAGACAAATAGAAGCTGGGCGACGGGCTATGACACGAAATGCACGTCGTGGAGGAAAAATATGGGTACGTATATTTCCCGATAAACCAGTTACTGTACGACCCGCAGAAACACGTATGGGTTCAGGAAAAGGATCCCCTGAATATTGGGTTGCTGTTGTTAAACCCGGTCGGATACTTTTTGAAATGGGTGGAGTAACAAAAAA